TTCGAACCAAATTCACCACTCTTCTTAGACCAGGCAGTTCACCAACCAAATCACGCCAGACACCACCGCGAACCCTGCCCCGACGGTCACGCCTACTTGTCAGCGCGGACATAGATTTTCAACACATGACTGACTCCGCCCATTCTTTAAAGTTTGTTGCGAACTTCAAATCTTCATAACTTTTTCAATTTTCACATCCACTCTTCGCACAACGGAGGTACTCGTAGCACCACCAATTTAGGCTCCGCCCCTTTGGCTACCACTTGCTTTTTGCGGAATTTTGATATTTTTTCAAAATTTTTGCATTTTTGGACTGCTCCATGAAGCCCCGCCCACTGTGAGAGGCTCCGCCCACTTTGAAGAAGCCCCCCACTTTTCAAAAATGGTGCAAATCGGCAGTATAGAGCCATGGCTTGCATGGCAAGGGTATTGCTGGTCATTAGGAACAAACTTTGCCTGATTTATTTGTTCCGAGTGACGGACGAGACCCTAGCATGAAGCCAAGGCTCTATGAAGTTGAAACGAATTGAGCACATGACGAGAGCTCTGTGACAGTGACACTTACGGACATGGTTTGCGTTAGGCACACGGCTCTAGTCGCTCACCTTCTCACGCTTTTGCTAAGGATTCTCTCGTACGTATGAAAAGGGTGATGCTTACTCATAATTATTCGATTCCTCTGTCGGACTGGCATAACACGTGACGTGTGGCACTTATCACTCGAATGTTTCCTGCTAATTTATTTATTTTTTGATAGTTGTTTGATGGATGCGGCCTAGCGTCTCTGTCGGCCCACTAGTAGGGCGGCTGGAGCCTACAGGGTGTTTACTGAGCCATCCACCAGTTCTCACTACTTCTTTTCGATTTTGGATCAGACCATTGCCCTTCGCCAAAGGAAATGCCTGTGCCTCTAAGAGCGAGGCGTCGATATCAACGAGACACTGTGGCGCGGTACAGGACATATTTCTCAAAAACAGCGCAGGTGTCAGGGCTCTCGACTCCAGCAAAGGGGGCTGCAACAACTCATAAATGCGAGTGGTTCGAAAAGTAGCGTGATCTATGGGAACTTCATAAACCTGAAGCCTCAAAAACTAGAAGACTACAGTCAATAGCCTGAAGAGTTGGAGACATTTCGTTTTTTTTCCAGGTTAACTCACTCGGAATTTTGTAGAAGTTTCTGTCCACCGCAATATTCTACTGAGCAAGCGTTCTCAACATTAGTCAGACGACAATCAGAGACAGAAATTTGTAACGGTGATGTGGGTCTTGTTTTGATAGTAATGTTTTTATGAGAGAATTTTAAGCTGCACAGCAGCTCGCGAGCAATCGTTGAAAAAAATATTCATTGACAGGCACCGAAATGGAAATTTTATTCGAAATTACATTTGTGAAACGTCAATGCCAAACTTGAGCGCTTGTCGAAGTGCCCTCAAGTGAAACAACTTCACAACGCGTCGTACGATAGTGATTCAATCAAGGAAATGTGAATAACAGCGCCTTACAGATCTTGGCAATGGAAACCTATTGGAAGCAAGCGATAACCGCCAGCCACCTCGGAAGATGCAGTGACGGGGTGAGCAAGCAAATAAGAAAGAACGACAGCCAATACGGCTTCAACAAATATTTTTTTGAAAGTCAGCAAGCATTATAATGCGACATGTCAAATGTTGAATATCAATATGTTCCTATCTAATCACAGTGTGCAATTAATTCCCTAAGCTTTCGCCGCTCGTCGTGGATCTGCTCCATTATTTCTTTGGCGTTCACTTTACAGCTGAAAATATATAGATGATTGACGGTTGGATCTGTAAAAACTAAATACAGGAAAGTCCTGCTCCATTAGTGGGAAACAGGCCACATCATCGTTGGGGTTTCCCCAACAGGGAGTCGTATTTGTTCGTGGGGGAGGGAGGGGGCCACATTTGGTCTGAGAAAATTTTTTTCGATTGTTTACTTTGCTTGTTTCAGGGATGCTATGACGGGGGAGGGCATTTGCTCGTCGTTCGTTGTTAGAAGGGGTGGAGGTAGGACTCGTATTCGCCTTCTGGGCTTTCGAGAGGTTGCTGACTTTTCGTGGTTTTCTTGTTCTGTATAAACTATGGACTACTAGATGAGAAGAGAACTATAGTGGGGGAGGGTCGCACGACTCGACCAAGATCCCCAATCCATGATGTGTCCTGAAGAGTAATACTACAAGTGATACAGCGATACGGCAAAGACAGTCCTGCGCACCACGACTGAAGGGACGTGCCAATGCAGAGCTGGGTTTTGCGCGTCATCAGTCCGCTCTCCACCAGTTGTTGAAGCGGAATTGTGTCAACGACTTGTGGAAAAAGGTTGATCACAAGCGGATTATGATACGTAACTGCCGCTAGGCGAAAAAAAAAAACGAAAAAGAACAAATGAGCTGGCGTTAACAACACTCACAGACGTTTTCGAGAGTGTACGGTCTACATTCCCTGAACGAAGTGGGAGTGGCTGCGCTCTTCATCATGCGAACGTGACGATAGGGTGCATTATTCGTACGCGTCACTTTATGTACTAGAAATGTCAAGGCAAACGCCCCTTCTCGCCCTCAGATGGAGTCTGTAGTACAGTGAAGAAAACGATGAGATAAGTCACCAAGCCAAATTTCGTGACACCCAAGTGCAAGTCTGTGATTGCTGATAGGCAATCTTGGAAGCTTGATTTCTTGCTCTTTTATACATGTACAGCTCATGCATTCACAGACATCCCAACTATTACGTCACCGACTCCGCTTCTAAAGACAACTTGTAATGAATGCCTTGAAACTGAGTTTCAATTCAGATGCGAAGCTGGCAAGTCTGTAAAAATGCAAGAATTAAGCCGTTTGGAAAGAGCAAGCGATAACCGCAAAAGCTCCTGATAAGTCGGTTCTATTCCTATCTCCGCCGGCTATTACCATAGGCAAATGCATAGTAGCAAATTCATACAAGAAAAGACCCCTGGAGACCATGTGGTATCGATGCAGCAAGGTCAACAGAGGGTAAGGATAGCTATATGGCTGGTCGCATGGCGTATGGCGTGCATGCGTGTTGCGTATCGAGCAGCGGTGACAGATAGAATGAATACCAGGCTATCAGCAGACTGACAGCGTTTCCGCGCAGAATCGAATAGTGGAAGCGCTTCACTTCCACGGTTGAATACGAGCTCACCTGGTAACAAAAAAATTTAAACAAGAGTAGATCGCACAGTGAGTCTTTAGAAAACTAGGAGATCATAGTTATCGAAATACAAATGTGATTTCCACGACCAGCATATTCCAAACACATTGATGCATTTTCAGTTTTGCGTTCACAGATGTGCAAGACTTACTCTTCGGTCAATGGGCAGCATTTAGCAATTTCCGAACACTGCTTGTGCCACAGCTTCGTGTCTTTGCGGCAGCTGATAGCCTGTGAACAACGTGGCTTACGGAATTAAACAAAAAGAAATGATATGACGCTGAGAGAAAAACTCACTTTTTTCTTCGTGCTTGATTTTCCCGAGCTTTTCGACGAACGCTTTTTCCGTTTCGTTCCAGGAGCGAACGGAAATCTGGCGTGGATCGAGTGGCATATTTTCAGCTGAAAACTGAAACTAACTAACCATGCTGAGGCATTTTATCAATTCACATACCACCGCACGATCAACTATTCTATGATGATGCTCACCAGTGGCTAGGAAACCCATGAACAGCTAGTTCAACAAACAATTGAAACAATTTAACATTGTTGAAGTTTGCTGAACCTCATTCAGAAAATTGTTCGTTCGCACTACCCAATTGTATGGGGTGTTTGACAAATTGGGTGTGTGGCTCGCGTACGTAATATGTCGGTCTGCATGTATGTACGTCTATCTGCCAATTCTCCGCTGGAGTGACAGAAAAAAAACGGTTGCTAGCAGAAATGTGTACTAATTAGTGTTACGGTATCGGTCCAACTTGATGTTTTGTTTGCGACAACACTCTCCTGATAGCAGTATAGGAGTGAAAGGGATTAGCGCAGTCAGCGTACCGCTGCTACCACAACTCAGGCAGTTGGAGCCATGGTAGAGCATCGTGTGTGATGTCAGTACGACCCCCCCCCCTCTTTCCCAGCACCCACCTACCAATCTCTCACATTTTTAAGTTTCCTCCAGTTTTTCATCCGATGACTTTCCGTCTCCAAAATTCTCACAAATATCAAAACAATTGATTAGCAACATCACTAGAACTATGAACTCATAAGTACGCAGATGACTGACAATTGATTAGCAACATCATTAGAGCTGTGAACTCATAAGTACGTAGATGACTGACTGAAAAATACATCTCAATCATGTTCGTGCGCATCGACCTCTCCAAACCCTTATCAAAGATCTGTTTGGACAAAAATCATCGAAAATTACACCTTACCACCACCACCTCTGCGTAGAAGCGTAATGCCACAGGCGCATCGCCCGCACCCAAATCGATACAAATAACCCACTTATGAGATCATTCAACGAGAATATAGTTTTGAAGGGAATTGGAGTTCGCCAAGGAATATCCTTAACATGGACACGAAAGAATCCGAGTCTATTTGAGTGGCTCAGGCACTATCCCCAAGTAATACGCCATATGAAAATATCTTCTGAGCTAGCGGGCTTCAGGAAAAGCCTGTAGAGCTCTGGGAAGAGCGAAATGGGCCGCTCTGATGTCCGCGTCTCGCGATTCAACAACTACCAGGCTCCGTTAACCCATCTGAAATAACTGTTCACGAATCGACGAGATGATTCAGGCTGCGAGTACGTACAAAAGACGCCAACCTCACAACACTTGCTTCAATGAGCAGCATTTTCGTTTTCCTCAGGTAATCCCCACAACCTAAAACAGATCAAAAGAACAAGCCACTTCGACTTGCTTTCCCCAGGCCAACCAGACTCTGGCCTCCACTGGCTGAATTGTTGCCAATGAAATCATAAACGCCGGTCGCAAGCCGCTGTCCAGTTGTTATACTAATCCTTCTCGGTACAGGCCAGCATCCGTGTTGCGCGAATGCCCTCCAATAGGGGGTGTATTCAGTCCGGCCAGGAGAGCGGGGGCAGATTTGGGCTGAAATTTTTTTTCTCGTGATTTTCCATGCGCTTCAACGGACGTATGTAAAGGAGGATTGGACGTACGGGTAATTGTGGGAGGAGGCCGGGAATTCCGCCATCTAACGTTTGGCGTTTGTCAGGAGTGGGTGTTGACTTTTGCGATTTTTGGCATACTATATGCCGCCCCCGCGCTCGAACGGCTGAGTTTCGATGAGACAGGAACAGTAAGGCCGAAGGTGTAGGTCGGGGCGGGAACGAGCCAGGATCCTTTTCTGCTGGAGAAGCCGTCAGTGCGGCGCCGCTTATTCACACATTCACGAAAATGCTCTACCATCGTCTATTAGCTGGACACAACGGCGGGGTGCGTGTACATGGCAAGTGGCACGCTTACCATGAACGTGCTATGGGCGTCCAACCCCGGAAAGCTTCCTCTAGTCCAATAAAGCTTCCGTCCTGCGGGGACAGCAAGTTGGCACCACATTTGTGTGAAAGGATGAGAATACTGACTTGTACACCGTCTCCATTGTTAAGAATTCATCACATTCAAAAGACCACTGATTTTGACTCTGGTAGAAAGCGTGCCGCGTCCCGAACAAGGGTTAGATCAACGGCGAAAACTTTGTTCCTCATATAAGACTCGTGAACAGTACGTTTGCAGACAAGTACGAGATGTTCGGTTCACACGATGGGTCGAGGAATATGGCGGCTTCGAAAGAGCTCTTCATCTTTTCGCGTATCCGCAAGTCCCCTTCCCCTAGCATGCTAGCCACAATCAGATTTCCCTGCCTGAGTCTGCCTCCGATTGGTAACTTCTGTACTTAATTTTCATTTGTTCCACTAATATGTATAGATGTAGGAAATCGAAAGAGGGTAGAAAAGAGAGCAGCTAGTAGAATACAAAAATGTAAAAAAAATGTAAAAAAACAACCTCTTCAGGGTTCAATATTGACTCAGATAATGTCGCATCCTTGATGTTCTTCTGTACACAGTCTCTTGCCAATTCTGCTCTTCTTAAGTGAAGACCATTCAGCGCCATTTTGATGTCCCATTTCTTGCGAGTACAGAAATCGCTGCTGCTCATTCTAGAAAACCGAGACTAACATATATTCGGAGGAAGCAATATGATGAAAGTATGGAATCACACAAAATCAAAATATCGCATACTTTCCAAATGAAGAAAGTATTAAATTACACGAAAATCAACCTTCAAGGACTATCAATTACTTCTAGACTGTGGAACGAAAGTCATCAATCTGAGAAAAAACGAGACGCCCTTGAGGGCATATGGGATAGTGTACTTGTGCGGTAAGCATGAAAAGCGGGTTCGAGTTTCGCCTGCGATCAAGAATGTCGCCCCCAACTCCACAATCTCGTAATTGATTCTATCAATGTTTTAAATAATCAAAGGCTGTATCTGAGATCCTCACCTAGGTACCGCACAAACAGGTTCAGAGCTAATTTGTCTTTAATCGATCGATTATTTGAGGTTGATACACTATCCAGCAGTTTTTTTTTCGGAATGCTGCAGCAATGCAGGGCTGATTTCTGATGCGATGTATGCAAGAAGACCGGAAATGCTGGCATAAAACTGGTAAAAAATTGAGGAAGTGCTTGAAAACAGACTGTGCAATAAACTTCAAGGTCTGTTCTTTCTGTGTGTGAAATAAATGGACACTTCACTACAGCAGCACTGGGTACCAGCTCCATGCTCCTCCCACACTATCCTCAACGTGCAGCTTTTGCGTCATACGAAGATCCTGTATGGAAACGCTAACTCAGCAGTGGAGAAGGACCAGAAATGAGAACGCGCAGAAAAGTAGTAGGTTGGCTGTGGTTAAGCGTGAGTAGATGCCCTTAACGTGCAAAACCTTGCACTTTGAACTTGTTTTTTTACTTCTTTTTTACCTGTGGGTGCAACATTTGCGCCCGTCAGCGTCTGCTTCCTCGAGCCTTTCTCTTTGACCACCTTGGCTCGAGAGTATGAGGGCAGAAATGAAGAAGTTGTGTAAAGACCATGTCTTCTGGTATAGGACAGCCTACTGTAACATCAATGCTTCTCAGCGGAAGGTTGCACTTTCAAAAACGGGGCCCAAACGTTGCCCGTTTCGACTGTTTTCCTAACTAACTCGTTATATGGACGATGAAAGCTTAACAAGCCGAGCTCTCGTGAAAACCGAAATGAGGTCCCATTTGGGCTGCGCCAGTCTGTTGTGAAACGATGGCACTCAAGATTCCAAATTGCTGAAAAGGACCACACAATAACGGAATTGCGTACTTCTGGTGCCATATGTCTCCTACAAAAGGAAGGTCAATCTGGAAAAATGACACGACTGTTCCGCCGACCTTGAGTATTTCTGAATATTTTTCACGATCGTCGAGTCATAAATCGCCTATCGCGAATTTTGCCACCCCACCGCGTCCACGAGAGCCATATGTTCTCTCTTATGCAATTAGACTATTCTATACCAATTTATCCGACCTCCCTGGGACTGAATTCTCACTTTTAGACTGAAATGTTGAGGGTGATGATCCTCCGATAGTACTCGACTAGCTCCTGAGTGATCTGCTTACGTGGAGCAGCGATCATGTCATTAACTCGCATATGGAGTCGTAACTTGGTGCCATGGTGGAACCAAGTCAAAAGTTTGCTATTTTAGAGATAATTGCTTCCGATCATCTCATGGGTGCTTTGGAAACTTTGACCAAGGATCCACCTATCTCAGACATAACCCGCAAGTTGTAGGTGGCAATCAAAGTAAGCCATTCTTTCACTGAAAAGAAATATGAAGACGGATTAAGGCAACAAAAATCCAGCCACTTAAGCAGCTACATAGCATTGCACAAGCTTATTCATATATCCACGCATTCTGCCGCACTTTGTCATCGTGGAGGTATTTTTGCGCTTGATGGAGCTTTTCTCTAGAACTTCTCAAAAACAATCCATGAAATTGCAAACTCACTGGACGTTCCGTTCAGTCAGGAGACAGTCATTTTGTTTCGCTTCAAGACGCTGCATACAATCCAAGTAATCCTCGCAAAACCCCTGAAACGGGGAAATTCGAAAAATACGAGAGCATAACAAATCGAGGCACTACATATTTACCCTTTATTGCGGCACTGTTCATATATTTACCGATTTTTTTCTCCCATAGTACATAGATTTGGCTGGAAATTCGCCCCGGCTAGTTTGACTTCTTGCTTGGCGTACTGCTTGAACTTTACACGAAATCACCTGCAGCTCGCGCCACAGGCATGTTGCCAAAACGCAGTAGTGAAAAAAAAACTGAGCAGGCCAAAATCGCGCGCTTTTGAGCTGTTTTGTTAGACTTCCCTATATTGCAAATCAAAAGTGTTTTCTTTGATTGAGTACATCTAAATTGCTGTTCCAAAAAATAGAGACGGTTGATTGCAGACGTTCCTGGACAAAATGGTGAACAGCTTCGAAAACTTGGCAGTGAAGGATAAATAGATTTCGTGTGGATAACGAGAGATTATAAGCATTTTTTACTGCAATAGACCTCTGTACGGTAGGCACCAAAGGCGTTTCGGTATCAAAAAAATCAAGGGAAGGAAGGCGTGTTTGAAGCATGCTACGTAAAGCTTCGTTCCCGCGGAAAACAACGCTACAAGGGCTGACAGCCCCCCCCCCCTTTCTCCAGGTTAGCTCGATTCCTTTCTCCATGTTAGCTCGATCAAATATGCACTTCAAAACTAATGAAAAATTCTAATGCGTTCTGCCCTAAGGAGAAAATTTCACAAAATGCGATCCCTCCCCATAGCCCGAACCACCTATCCTTTTCCGGAATTTTCCGAGTTCCTACCACCATTCCAAGAATTCTTTAATTTTCTCCCGAAAAGTGCCGTAAAATAGCTTGGAGGGAAGCGGTGGAGGGAATAGCGCACTTCCAAACATTAAAAGGCAAAAAAAACGAGAAAAGCCAACAATAGAAAACAAATAGCAAATACGGCCCTCATCCTCTCCAGCAACCAAATATCCTCCTTAGCTGGGATTCCCTAATGTACGACGTGCCCTTTTCTCAATGTTCTTCACAAAGTGTTCGAATATCGGTCCTGCCCCTCACCATTTCATTTAGAAAGTACTCAACTATGGGAATGCGTTTTCTCTTTTCTTTCGCACCGTATGGTGCCCTCGGAGTGGTCGTGAGAGCAACCGCATACGATCAAACAAATCGCGCCGTAGTCGGCCTGTTTATTCAGCGGCAGTTGCCAATGGGGCAAAGTCTACTCGAAAAGGCATAGCAACTGTCAAAACGTGCACGCAAAAAAACGAGATGGGCTTTTAGTGCAGTGCAAAAAGCACTTGACCCTTATACGCTAACCAGCTTGTAGATTCCGCGCTCAGGGTCATGTGTGAGGGATTTACCGAGGACGTGTTTCTGGTCAATCCGCTATGAAGAGGAATTCCCTCATCACAAAGGTTTCTTAAAGAGGTGTAACTGAGGACAGCGCTGTAGACGACCCAATTTGTTGAGGGAACGGGAAATGCATCCTCAGGGAATGTTATAGATGTGTAAAATGAAAGAAAACCTACGTATTTCGACTGTACCTGTAAAAATAAGTGCAAGAAATGTGACAACGAACGTAGTTGCAGGGAAAATTCTCATAGAACTCACCTCTGATGCATCAGCCACTGCGAAAAGGGCGCTGATCACTAATGAGCGCATTAAAGTCATCACCACATCAGGGCCTGAAATGTCGATCTTTCGTTAAATGATTTGCAAAAGCACTTCCAGAGAAGACGCGAAAAAGGAGACAGCCGGTTAACGAGCTACATCATAGCTTCTGCATCCAATGAATGAGGTCTGAGTTGCGGATAGCACTCGGACTTAAGGCTAACAAAAAACGAAAGAAATGAACTCAGGGCACATCATCGTTGGGATCCCCAAAATGGAGAGGTTAGGGGGGGGTCGTATTTAATCGATTCTTCTTCTTTTGGGACGAGGGAGGGCGTATTTGCTCGTTGTTGGGAGAGGGTCGGGGGTCGTATTTGCTTCTCGAATCAGTGGCGTTGGGAGAAATTTTTCCCCTTGGTTCTTTTTGCGGTTTTCCCGTTTCGCATGAAAAAAAACCAACTAGAAACCAGCCCCCTCCCATTCCCGTCTCGACAGATCGTATTAGAGTAGGAAACCGTGGAAGTAGTATGTCAGAATCCCCAACCAGTGATATACCCTGGATGAACTGCTGGGATCTTGTGGATTCTTGATGGGCAATCGCATCTGACATGTTTAGCAGATGTACCACAGACGTTTAAGAGTATCTATCAAAGGTGGACTGTCCTCGAATTCATAGATGTGCCTTAGTCTCGAACTCTTTCCGTTCGTTATACAAGGGAGGTTGAAAATTCAATCAAATAATTCATTGAGGAAATCAAAGAAGTGACAACACCCCGAGCCTGTTGTCAATCCTTCCCTGGTACTCATATTCGATTGACCATTCTACTTGCATTCAGAATCGTAATGGTTGTTTCAATACGAAATGGCGTGTTCAGTACGACCTGAGGACTTGTCTATGTACCAGTCAGCATTTTTAACCCCCTGACTTAGCTCGTATCAGAGAAGCGATGACGTGGAATGGAAAACCAGGTCCAGCTCAGTGGGACGGAAAACTCTTTGCAACACTTTGCACATTTTATGTATTAGGCTGATCAAAAAGTTTTGATAGGGTTGAGATTTTTTCTGTTTTATTTTACAACTCAGCAAACAATGCAAGCTAATCAACAATATAATAACCATCGTTAGTCATAACATTGTCCCACCTAACGGGCAGGTCAGCGATTCCCTTCTCCCAGAACTGGGGAGATTGGGAGTCAAAGAAGTCACCGACCAAGGCTTTCCTAGCAAAAAAAACGGTTTGTCAACTATGACCACTCGTTCAAGGCGGTCATAGTTGACGAATCGTTTTTTTTAGGAAAGCCTTGAGGGGCCGGAACAAGTGGTAATCTGAGGGGCAATATCAGGTGAATAGGGTGGATGTGGAACCGTGTCCCAGCCTAGCTCCTCCAATTTTGCACGGGTCTCTTTACCTATGTGACCTAGCGTTGTCATGGAGGAGGTGCACAAAAGTTCGTCTAGGCCGTTTTTCTCGAACGGCTTCCGCAAGTTTCTGCAGCTGACCAGCGTAATAGGGAGCGGTGAGATGTGCCTTGCTTGAACAGTTCGTATTACGGCATTCCTTTGAACCCCAGAAGACAAAGGAGAAACTTTGTGGAGCGTCAATTTGGCTTTGCGTCGGCGCTGTTCCTCCATCTCTGCGGGACAGACGCGAGTGCTTGTTAGGAGAGATCCACCTTTCATCTTCACAGGACTAGGTCTAAACTCCTTGCCTGGCCAGAAACTACTCGAATGTGGCGAGAAGGAGAGATCTGACAAATGGAAACGCGGTGTATCGCAGCTATCAGTTCCAAGGACAGTTGTCATTCGCCGAGATCTCTTTCTTAACCGACGCCTAAAGGAGACCGAATGACTGTATGATTAAGCACCCAAGTTCAGTCGCAAGACTGCGGTTTTCCGGATTGTCCGGATCCTCTTTGATGGATGGTGTCCTCTCACCTTTTGATTTGCGAACAGATATGCCACGTCTTCCAGCGTCAAAACGGTGCGCCACGTAGAAAGATGAGTCATCGAACGTGATGCTCGTGTGAATGACATCATTTTAAAGTAAAGGAGGTAAGCCGCGCCTAAATTATTACCATTAAGGAGACCGGCTCTAGAATGCGACCAACATCCAATTTGACATCGTTCGACAAGATGTAATAATGTCCCTGCAGCATAATAAAAAACACCTATCATAACTTTGATGACCTAACATTGTTCATCACGGGCCAAGCCTGTCTGTATAAGTAACAGAGGAACGACGATAAACTACATATAAACGGCTGAATACTTTCAAGCGATAAAGAAATGTAAGTTTACCCTGCTCCAGCATGTACTCGCATTGGAGCACGCGTCGGAGCGAAGCGCTGAGAACTGCTCATTCGCGTCGCCTTCATCAAGCGCAAGGTCATGCTTCAGTGAGAACGTGGAGACTGTATCCGACAATATTTAACAAATTCCGACATATTTGTCATGAAATCTCGCGAATTAGTGACTATCAGTAATACTATCTGGACCCATAGGTGCATTAATATCTCCATGCTGTGTGAGGTCGGCAATAAAATCGTGATGGCTTGAACCATGAAAAGCAGTTCCAAAGACCAGCTTCACTCTGTACAACAATAGGAGCGTGCGTTTCTGTTTTGAGAGAGTGTCAGGAGAAACTGTCTAAAATGCTTTTTTTCGTCGACCTCGACTCCAACTTGAAAGCTTGAATAATGGTGAAAACAGAATCTTCAAGAAAAAACTAAGAGGATCACCTTATAGGGCAATTGATTCTTTGCAAGACCGTATGAAACTCAATGGCTAAACTCGTAAGCAAGTAATCACCTATCGAATACATTGCGAAACTCCGTGGTATAACCATTCATCTACAACGCGAATTTTCGAATTAGAAAAATATGCTATTACTTAGGCCAACTTGATATCTCATTCTCAGAGCCTGCACACGAGAGAAACCAAAACTTGCAGAAGATAAAGAATTTCTAGGAAAAACTGATTCTGAATTCAAAAGAGACCTCACATTAGCTACAAAAACTAATTTGTTGTTCAATCAACTAGATTTCAAGAATAAGAATAAAGGCACAACTACCTTGAAGAGTAATTAGAGGTTTCAAATAAATAGGAAATCAAGACGAGCCTTCACTGCGTAGGAGCGAAACATTTGGGAATTGAGGAAGGTATTCGAAGAATCGAGAGTTTCTCGCTCTCTCGAGAGGAAAGAAAAGGGCAAAATCAGGCAGAAAAGCGGTACAATATCTGAAAGTGCACACCTACATTCACACTAGTGTTATGTGACTGGGGACCGGAAAGGGTCATGGCGGTGTCAGGAAACTGGTCCGCTAGTAAACAACGGCTGCAATTGCCAAAAGTGGCAGCAATTGAGTGATAATGGTGCGTGGCGCTTTCGTCCACTCACCGAACTCCCATACAATCCAATTCTTGAACAGGAAATAGCGACGCATGAGAACAATTGTTCAAATCATGAATTAAACGAGTTGTGTTAAAAAAATAAGAGAAAGAGGCAAGTACATTCGGCACCATTTACCCTTTATTGTCCCACCTCTCGAGATTTAATGATTTTAACAGAATCTCTTTAACGTATGATATGGGTGAATTTTTGTCTCCGGACGTTATTCCCTTCCTGGACACGGATATCACATCCGATTGAAACGAGACCTAATGTCCGCGCGACTGACGCCAGTGCCACCGACGGGTTTATCGGCCGTACACACAGCGTATATGATAGTAACTTAATGAAGCATGGTATTCGTGTACAGGATGTCAAATTACACCTGGAGCAACCTTTCAAGAGGTTCGGTGTTCCGAGGCGTTTTTGCGCCGGCGCGCATGGCACGAGCGCCAGCTAGTTTGGTTTTGACCCAAGCGGATGAGATGTTCGTGTTTCGGAGGTCGAAGAACAAAAGTGGGCAAAATTCTAGACAAATCTGCTAATGCGAAAAAATTTCGCTTGAAATATGACCGGAATATCGAGGAGTAGTAGTCAGGGGTACATAGTATATTTTTATGGCCCATCCTACTAACAAAATTCTTAACTGGATTATTCATCACATATTTCCATAGATTGTCACATAATTGAAATAGAAAATGCTAGACAGTAGCTAGTGCTAGTGCGTATATCTACGGGGCTGGTGAATTAGCGATGGAAGGCGACAGTTGTAGAATTCGAATGGAGTGGTTTCGGCGAAAGGGACTGGACCTGAAGTGCGCTCCATTTACCGGAGGCGGCCTCAACAAGTGTTTGTAGCCGTCATTTTTGTCAGCGGTACGGGGGGCTAATGCCTTTGGACGGACTCAATTTTGGCTGCAAGCTCATTTATGAAATGCCAAGATCACCAAATCCACTGCAAACCTGTATACACGGGTAATTTAACGTCCTGATTACGAATATATACTCATTCTTGGCGCTGGCGCTGAGAAAGGCTACGATTACCTACTGGACTCAGCCTTAGCAGAGCGCAGATAATTCGTAGTGTCATCCATTAGCGCCAGCGCCAAGAGTGAATGTCATATTCGTAATCAGGATGTTGAATTACCCCTGTATACAAGTTTTCAGCGGATTTGGTGATCTTGGCACTCCATAAATGAGCTCGCAGCCAAAATTAAGTGCGTCCAAACGGCATTATCCGGTGCGAGAAGTTCCATCTTTTAATTTGTTCCTCATAACAGAAGATGATTGAAGAACCAATGCATTCGAATAACCACAATGACCTTACATGCAAATCTCCCACATCAGAGTCCTTCGGTGAAGGATCAACCCGCGTTATGGAAATGGTGACCTTTCTCCTTTCATATAAGTTTAAACTCGAAGATATGATAGTACTCAAGACCCAGGCCCATGATGACTAATAGGTTCCGGTTTGGTGAGTTGATCCACCAACAATGTTCTCGTCCCATACCCTGTAACATGGAAATCAACGCCTAGCCGATGCTGTGAAACGCCTTAAGAAAATGGTGACCTTTCTCCTCCCATACGAACTCATCGTCTCTACATGTGATAGTCTCAAGAATTCATAACAATGCTTACTCAAAACTGCACTCTGTCATAGTCAGTGTAATCG